TTCCTTCCTTCCTTCCTTCCTTCCTTCCTTCCTTCCTTCCTTTCTTTTTTCCAAAAAGTGAGGTTTTTGTTTTTGTTTTAATTATAGGTAAAAAGCCACTTAGGTGACTTTTAAAAAAATCTTTATCCATTCATGACAAAATTTAAAGAGCTCCTGTCCTCCCCGTACTCTCTGTTCTACTATTGGAGTTACATACAGAAGAGGCTATGCAAACACTGGCTATGCAGCAGTACCTGCTTTGGTACCCACAGAATGCTAAGTCATGTCCACTGTTCCAGGCATTTCCATGGCTTTCCCCTCAACATCTGGACCTATGGAATGCCCTCCAAATCCCTCCACTGGTCACCATTCCTCCTGGTTTGATCTCCACAGCACACGGGGCATGCATGTTCCCCACATCGCAGTCCTGTTCTCCCTCTGCATTTGCTGGTGCAGCTGCCTAGAAGGCTCCTCTCTCAGATACTCAGCCTTGGTCTCCAGAGACTTCCAGGACTTGAGGCCAGCGTCATCTCTCAGAAAGCCCTGCCTTGATCACTCTGCTTGACAGGATGCCATCTCTAATGGCAAAAATCTTAATTTCCATTTAAATGCTTTCTCAGCGACATTCAAAATCGCACTGTCTGACACAGGTGTTTATATCACTGATTTAAACCTTCACAGTAATATAAAATCTACAGGGAGAAAGATGTTTTCCTGTTTCTTCCTGGCTGTTTCCCCAGTGTCTAGAGCAATGTTTGTCTCATAGTAATTGGTTATTTCTGAGTGAATAAATAAACCCCAGAGGCATTTTTACTTATGACAATTACATTTTTACATGACCATCGAACCATCAAAACAAACCTTTGGCCATTTGACCACAAACAAAATAGGTCAGTACTAATGTCCCCCTTTCCGGTTCTCTTTGCTGGCAGATCTAATCACCGTGCTTCGAATATAGCATGGTGTGAGCTCTTTAGCTAAATGCGTCCCAGTGGTTTCACAGTTATGCTTCTGCTTCAACATTTTCTATTCGAACGCTATGTTCTGTTTCTATTCTACTATTGTTTGTTTTGTTTTTCTTCAGTTTTAGTCCAAGATTATTGAAGTTTAAAATAATGGGTTTTTTTTCCCTAGAAATTTTTTTTTTCTAGATACGTTTTTCCTAGTCTTCTTGACTTGGGATATTAGACAGTAGAGTTTGAGAAGAGCCTCCTCATCTTTCTATATATTCATTTTCTTACACTCTTCCTCCACTTTTGCTAGACATGAGGGGAAAACCAATACCTGCTTTTTCACAACAACAACAACAAAAACTGGTGCTATGAATTCCCCCTACACTTATCAAAACAGAAATTCCCTCCACTTTCTGTTCACCCTATGTAAACATTATAATGAAGCTTATTTGCTGACTCGAAGACTTTCTTCTTGACTCAGACCATTGGCAAAGTACACAATTCTAACAAGAAGCTCTGGAGTTGGAAGTCCACGTGTCATAACACATAGAATCGTCATATTGGAAAGCAACTGCTTTAAGACAGATGTCAGTGCGTTCAGTTAGCCAGCAGAACGGAATAGTGTGTCATGATCATTTTATAGACTTTCTGCCTGAGCTTCTGGCCTCTTACATCTCAGCCATCCTCAGGTCCTGTGCTTCATCTGAGCAACCTTCCACCTTTCTTTACCTCCTATCACTAAATCCTCTGGTAGATTAGAGTGCTACTTTCAGTCAGTGTTGAAAGGTTAATTCCTGACTGGCTTTGGTACCTTGTGTGGTACATCCATTTAAAACCGTTATACTTTGCAATATAGAAACAGCCAGCTTTTTAAAAAATTAAATAAAATTACACACACGCACACACACACACACACACACACACACACACCACGAGCAGCAGCAGCAGCTTTTGATTTAATTCAAGTCTTTGATTTTGACTATGACGTTTCCCCAAGATTACCCTCCTTTCTGGGAGATAAAGACATTAGCCATTAAATCTACACTCTGCACTGTGAAGGGACATTGAGGTTGCTGTGAAGTACAGCTGGGCCACAGTGTCCACATTCTGTAGGTGAACTTGAAAATGGCAACTGATTGCATCAACATCTCTTAAAACACAACTTTGCTCATGTAAGTAAAATATTCTTTCTTCAGGATTTTCAACAAAGTCTGAATAGGGGAAGTGATGGGCAGGTTTCCTGCTGCCTAATCAGATAAAAATGGAATGCATGACCTTCCCAGAATTGTGGTTTTCTGCAGGCAGACTGCCACAGTATTTAACACTAACATAGACGTAGACCTGCTTCTCTTCTTCAAAGCAATGACTTAAACCCACACGTTTCAGAGAAAAATTTAACTCTAGAAGATAATACAAATGCCAGAGAAGAAAAGCTGCTTACCTGGGGGAGGAGCTGGAAGGGATGCCTGCTTAGGCTCTTGGGTCCTGGCTAGGTTTAAGTCAGCGTAGACCACTGATGCATCCATTGTAGGTGGAGGGATTTGACAGTGAACTTGTGGACAGGAACAGACTCCAAGGTCTGTGAGTTGAAATAAGCAAAAAAGGAAGTCCGCTGTGCACTGTCTGCTGTGTGTGTCCACACCCACCCACACTGGTAGCTGAGGGTTTCTCCATAGTTACTGACCATGGTGCCTGTCTTGCTCACAGAGCTTACTTTTTTTTTTTTAAAGAAAGAATTGCTACATACAGGACACAGAGTTTGGTTTTTAAACACATTTCTGGGAAGGGCTTTTTTTTTTGTTCCTGTCCCTCTGTCAGTTATAAGATATCCCCTCAGAACTCTGATGAAATATTCATCTTGGATTGAAATTTACCTTGCTCCTGAACTCGCAGGGTTCAGATGTATGCCATTCTGTGATGTGTCATGAGACTGAGGGTTATACGTGAAAGCCTACGGTGCTCTTTGGCACCAGTTGAAGCTCTGAAAGTCTCCTGAAATATCCACACTGTGAAAGGAGCTGTGGAGCTGCAGACGGGGATGGGGGAAACCTCGTGACTGACACAATAGAAAGAGCAGTGATAGGAGCAGCGTGGGCCACTCAGAGCAGTCCTGAGTGAAAGGACTTCATCCGTCAGAGCGACAGGGAGCTGAGGACACAGGTCTATGCGATGTGCTAACTCCTCCACGGATTTCTAGACCCAGAGCCTTAGAGCAAGGACCACACCTAATCAGACAGTCTCATATCACAAGTGAAAAGGAAGAAGAAAAGCGAGGATTTCCTTAAAGTCACTTTCTGTGGTCGGAGTGGAATTGTGCAGGTGCGCACAGTTACATGACCGTGGCAGCAGTCTGCAGGCTGTGCGTTCCAGGAGTCAGGTGCACATCACAGCGTGGAGAGCACATTCATTTCCCAAGGCCATTGATGATTACAAAGTGAGGTGAAGCCCGTGTGCGGGTCTCACAGCACACATCGTGACTCAGTGGAACCTCCTCAGCTGTCACTCTCTGTTGACAGTCATTTCACCCAATGCCAGGCACGGAGTTCTGTCTCATTCTCCATCTAAACCTAAGATTTCAGCAAGTGTGCAAGACTGTCCAGAGCTGTGCATCTTGTGTGATTCTATTTATTTCTTTTGCTCAGATTACTATAATCTCTGGTAGACAAGGGTGCCAATTTCAACCGGTGTTGAACATTAGTATAGTAAATTTCATATACAACGGGTCCTCAGGCTTTATTTAAATTATTTAAAAGTTCATTAATAATTCATTTTCTATCCAAAAATCCCCCTCCCTTTCTGGGACATCATAGCCTTCAGGGGTAAGTGTGAAGAACATTCCAAATATTTGAGGTGGGTCATGGGCAATGGCTAAGCAAACAACGCTGTTGTCAGTGACTATGGGGATATATTAGATCAACAGGGTAAAGAGGAGTCTGATTCTGTATTTAGATGAAGAATTAAGCTCTGAAAAGATAGTGAAGGATATTGAAGTTTCATTTTTTCTTTTTTTTCTTTTTGTCTTACTCTCTTATTTTATGTGTTGGTGTTCTGTGGTTGTGAACTGCCTTGTAAGATGGGAACTGAACGCGATCCTCTGGGAGGACAGCCAGTGCTCTTGACTACTGAGCCATCTCTTCAGGTCCAACACTGAAATTTAACAAGTTCTGAAGCCTGGTTCTGATGGCTCTACAATGATCTCATTAAATGCAAGAGATTTGAGGGGGAGGTATTTTCATTAGCAGGTGTGTTCAAAAGTCTCTAAGCCACAAAGCGTAAAGAAACTAAAAATAACAACCAAACACGTCGCCATTGGTCTGTGTGCTCTACGCAGCTGATAGCCCACTTTTCCTGTGATGGAGCGACAGGAGCCATGACAATGACCACACAGTTACAAATACAACGAGAGTTTTGTTATGTAGCCATCTTTGTACAGTTAAAAATAAAACCCTCCTGAGAGTTCACATCTGGGGAAAGCATCTGCCTACTGAAGTCATCTGATCACCTAATGGCCCAAATGATAATTTCACTGCAAAATGTCAGAATTCAGGATTACATTGATCTTGTTACTCTAAAATAGAAGGAGGGTAAGCGGATGTGTATTTGTGTGCGCAAGAGAGTAAAATGTGATATTAGCCATTCATGATGTGATGACAGCTAAAGAATTCAAATGGTGAATGGTGGTAAGTGATCCTGGGCTTTATTTATTTTTTTTTTATCCATGTATGTGTTTATGCATGTGTGTGAATACAGTGTATGCCTGTGTGGTGTATGTGCCGGTATATTTGAGTGTGTACAGGCCGTGTGCATACCCAGTGGGCAGAGGGGACTGTGGGATATTCTTTCCTCCTTGTACCTTTGAGGCAGGGCTTCCTCTGGACCTTGCATTGATTTTCTTTGTTTTTCCAGACAGTCTGGAAAACAACATGCTTCAGTGATCCCTCTGTCTCCTCCCCTCAGGATGCTGGGGTTACAGTGTTCCAGGGACCACACCTGGCTTGCTGTATCTTTTTTATTTGCAGAGCTAGCTCTGCAAATCCTGATACTGAGTTTCAAAGTGGCTGTAGTTAAAGTCTTATTAAAAATCTCATAGTTTAAGAAAGACAAGCATCCCAGTGGTAGCCTGCTTTGATATCGAACTCTCTTACTTTCATAGTGGAAGTTAGAATGTACAGAAAAATAGAGCGAAAGACCAACATTTCCCTTGAACGTGAAGAAATAAAGAGGCTGCACGAAAAACAGTGATAAAAGGAGGGGTAGAGAGATGGTTCAGTGGTTAAGAGCACTGGCTGCTCCTCCAGAGGTCACAGGTTTGATTCCCAGCATCCACCAGGCAGCTCAAAACTGTAACTCCAGTCCCAAGTGTCCTGATATTCTCCTCTAGCTTCTCTGGCCACCAAGTGTTCACATGCTACACAAATGTACATACAGACAAAACACCCACACACATAAAATTAAATAAAAATAATTTAACAATTTTTTAAAAATTAATTTTACATTCCAACCACAGTTCTTTTTCCCACTCCCCCTGTCCCTTTCACCTTTCCCCCACAGGGTATCCTGCCATCCACTCCTTTCAAAGGGTAAGGCCTCCCATGGGGAGTCAACAAAGCCTAACACATCAAGTTGAAGCAGGACCAAGCTCCTCCATCCTGCCTCAAGGCTAAAAAAGGCATCCAACCATAGGGGATGGAGTCCAAAAAGCTAGCTCATGCACCAGGGATAGATTCTGGTCCCACTGCCAGGGGCCCCTCAGATAGACCACGCTAAACAACTGTCTTCCACATGCAGAGCGCCTGGTTCAATTCCAGGCAGGCTCCACAGCAGTCAATTTAGAGTTTGTGAGCTCCTACGAGCTTATTTCAGATGTCTCTGTAATTATAAAAAAGGCTAGAAAAGGTGAGTGATATTTCAAATGTCAAAGTCACAGAAAAATTTACACAAATACAAAACAAACAAAACAAAAAGAGGGATACGTGGCCACGTCAGAGAAAGGAAGGGATATTTATTTATTTATTTATTTTGGATTTTCGAGACAGGGTTTCTCCAAAGCTTTTGGTTCCTGTCCTGGAACTAGCTCTGTGGACCAGGCTGGCCTTGAACTCACAGAGATCCGCCTGCCTCTGCCCCCCTAGTGCTGTGTTAAAGGCATGTGCCACCACCGCCCGGGTGGAAGGGATACTTTATAGATTAAAGCATCGCAAATGTATGAGCTTCTTTGGTGAGAGTTTTCCGAATTATCCTAAAGATGCTTGGTCAGCTACTAGGAACTAACGAGCCTCTGGATGCCCCAGATGAGCAGGTACAGGGACACAGGAAGGCGACACACAAGCAAAATCATCTGCCAACAAGGACGTGAAATATGTGCATAGAACCCCACAGATTTGGGGAATGAAAAACCACAACAGCGGAAATGAAACGTTCACTGGGGGTCAAGGGAACTTGGTATTTTTCAAAACTGTAAGCAAAACAAACTTATTTTCATGAAAGCAAAAGATGGAATGTTTGTGAAGGAGAACAAGGACAGGAGAAAAAGAAGGGAGACTGTTGAAGGTGACAGGGTGTCAGTGGATCAGAACATGGTACAGACACACGTGAACATGTCACAAGGAATATCGTTAGACTGTACACTTACTACGTTCTAATAAAAAGTGGAAGAAAATGATAAGTCACTTTACAGATATTTTGCTCTCAGTATTATTAACTGCAGCAAATGGACTCATACAGATGACGTCTTCAATGCTGTGAAATATTAATTCCAACTGAAAAGATTGCAGTCAGCAAAATTATTCTGCAAAAATGAAGAAGAAACTGAGACCTTCCCAAATATTCAAAAGGTGAAGGAGTTTATTAGCACTGGACCTGCTACACATGAGACAGGCCAGAGGTCTTCAGGTCCAAGAGAAAGGACAGTAAGGAGAAAAACGCAGTCATACAACGTTTCCAACACACACAACAGCACAGGCTACTTTAATACTGGTACGTAGATTTTAAGTGACAAGCACATACAGAAAACAGGTATACCTGTATGACAATGTGTATATAATACTTAAAAATGTCAAACACAACTGTTCATGTGGATGCTTCACCCCAGCCCCTGGCATCCATATACCCAAAGAGTCTGGAATGTTCGGGAAGAAGCTCCACCCCAAGCCCCCCCCCCCCCCACACACACACCAGCTCTCTCCAAACCCTGCTGCATCTCAGAAAGCCTGCCAAATGATAACCCCTGCCCCAGAGATGCCCAAGACCACTCCCACAGGGTATTAAACTGACCCCCAGAAAACAGACCTGGGGGTTTTCCAGTCTTCCTTTCCCACCTCCTCTCTGGGGATGGAAAATCATCCAGGAGCATTTTATCCATTAAACCTGGGCTTTTTCTAATTGGGTTTGATTTGGTCTGATTTTGATTATTGCAATGGCAGAGAGGCTTATTGGGGTGCAGAAACTATTCAGTAATATTAATAACAAATTTTGGGTGAATAAAACTGCAGCATAATGGGGTGTTTGCAATTGAAATTAAGCCAATCCCAGTTCAAAATAAAATTCTATATCTTTAAGAAGCTTTATATAGGAA